TTATCAATTGTGCTTAGCCATACATGTTCATATCCTTGAAGATGCATCATGGAACTGTTGCAACCTAGAAGACACAAATTTAACTAACAAGTTAAACGTACATGAGTCAAATATTAAAAGCAATACTATTCCAAGTAGAGGTTCTAACAGTGGCACAAATCAAGTTACAGAGGGAAGGTAGTTCTTAAAAATTAAAGGCTAATTGACTAGCACGTTGTCTATTATAGTATAAAGGTTAGGAACCACAAGATGTAGAGGCTCAACTATGTCACTTATTGTTTTTAAGTCCTGGACCAAATTCCATCTACCACTGGGTTGTTTTACAGCTCAGAAGTCCGCATGCAAGGCAGAGGTGAAGGAAGGAGAGAAGCCCAGCAAGATCCTTTTTAAATACTTGAGGCTATCTAATTAAATGTTTTTAATTTTTCTTTATATTCTAGTTGTTGTTGTTTTTACATACTGTGGAGTCAGAACTGACCTTCCAGCACATTTTTCAGAGACAGTAAATCACCTGGGAGGAAACAGCCCATTTTTCTCCCACAGAGCAGCTGGTGGATTCAAACTGCGTGCATTTGGTTTGTCAGTGCAGCTACTTAACCAGTCAGCCACCAGAGCTCAAACTAACTTATGATGGAGTCAAAACTGACTCATAGCTGACTCTCTAACAAGGTTCTAAAGGATTACTCATATTGATGGTAAATACATGTATGTGTAAAAGTAATCTAGGAGTTATAGACTATATATACTACAACATAGCAAGATCATATGCATTTTCTTTTGATGGTGCTGTTCATACATATACCACCATCTAACTATGCAAAAATGTTTACCTGTAGATCAGAACTAATTATTGCTAACACAGAAAAGAATGAGAATCCTAGAACATTTACTTATGCTTCTACAAAGCCTACTTAGATTAAGATACTGTTGTTCAAACAGAACAAGGAAACAATGCATTGGGGTTTTTTTGTTTTCTTTTTTAAAATTTATTATTAATTTCAATGAAAATTTACAGAGACTTTGGATTTCCGTTCATTCCTTGTTGCACTTTTCTCCCCTCCCAACCATCCCCCCCCAGTACACTACCCTCTTGAAAAAAGAAAAGAAAAATTCTGTTCTTTCCCCCCCCTTAAAAAAAATTTTTAAAAAACCAACCCTTGTCTAAAAAGAAAAAGAAAAGAAAAATTCTTTCATTGTTTTACAATCCTTCCCTCCAGGTCCACTCCACTATGCAGCCTTCACTCTGGACTCCTGTCATGACAAAAATACCTAATCACATACCCCTTTTAAATAGTTTTCTCCCTCATCTGTTTCAATGCAGTATACATTATTGAACCCATCTTTCTCAGTCTCCCCCCAACCCCTATGTCGGTCTTGTTTTACAACAGCGGGACCATGCAGTATTTGTCCTTTTGTGGCTGAGATACTTCACTCAGCATAATGTCCTCCAGGGTCACACATTTTGAATAATATTGCATGAGTTCCTTGTATTTGTCCTTTTGTGACTGAGATACTTCACTCAGCATAATGTCCTCCAGGGTCACACATTTTGAATAATATTGCATGAGTTCCTTGTATTTGTCCTTCTGTGACTGAGATACTTCACTCAGCATAATGTCCTCCAGGGTCACACATTTTGAATAATATTGCATGAGTTCCTTGTTTTTCAATGCAGCTTAGTATTCCATTATGTGAATATACCACAGCTTCTCTATCCATTTGTTTGTTGATGGGGAAACAATGCATTGTTTAAAACCAAGACATGTACAAATGTACATCATGGCCATATCCTTTCTCCATACCTATTCATTGTGTATTCTGAGCACACTGTTCAGGAAGCTGAACTTGATGATAAAGAATGTACCATCAGAATTGGAGGAAGACTCATCAAGTGAGGAGGACTTAAAAGTCTTGCTGCAATAAATCAAAGACTGTATGGATTACATCTCAACATCAAGAAAACAAAAATCTTCACTGCTGGGTCAGTAGGCAACATCATAATAGGTGGGAGAAAGATTTACACTTGTCAACAATTTAATCTTATTTGGATCTACAATCAACATTGTTGGTACCAGCAGTCAAGAAATCAAAAGACGGTTCACATTGGGAAAGTCTACTGTGAGGAACCTTTCCAAAGCACTAAAGAGCCTTGGTGTCCTTTTAAAGGCTAAGGTGTACCTCTCCAAGCCATGGTTTCAGTTACTTGCCACGCATCTGAAAGTTGGACAGTGACTAATGAAAACAGAAGGAGAATTGATGCCGTTGAGTTGTGGTGTTGGAGAAGACCACTGAATGGACTACCAAAAGGTGAAACACGGTGCTCCTTAGAGGCAAGTGTGGTGAAGCTTCACCTCACATGCTTTGGGCATATTGTTAGGAGGTGACAATAGTTGAACAGTGATATTGGGCTTGAAATTGTAAAGATTCCAAGAAAAAGAGGAAGACCCTCAAGAAGATAGATTGACACAGTTACCATAGTTATGGGTTCAAGTATGTAGTGAAGGTGGCACAGGCTAGAACAGGGTTCATATCAGCTTTCCTCAGGTGTCTATGAGTTGCAGTTGACTTCACATAACAACATTCACAGACATAATTGAGTGTTCTACAAATGTCATCAAGTAATATTTTACTTAGAGTATAATTATAGTGCTTGATAATGCAGAATCAGTATCTAAAAGAATAAGTTACAGCGATTTGTGGCTTTGGTGTTATCAGGTTGTCTTTTGAAAATATTTATCCTTAGAAATTTATATATATGTAAATTATGTTTTGTTTCCTTCATAGAGGAGTGAATGTTGTTCCTTTTCTAGAACTCCTTGGGTTGCCTGACAGCATAGTCAACATTCTCAAAAACTCCCAGAGTGGGAATGCATTAACAGCATACGCCTTGTTTAAGGTAAGTACTCCTAGAACTAGAATGTTTCCCAGGAAACTCCCCTTGAATCCACAATAATTTTTCATTTCTCCAGGACACATCAACTTCCCTTGGAGACAGTACAACTAAATTTAAGAGACACTGGTCAAAAGAAAAATGTCAGCAGTCGACGTTTTTGGAATCACAGAAGCCAAGAAAGCTTAAGATACAAGCAGTCAGATCATGGGTTGGACAATGGAAGATATTTTCTGAAGGGACTTGGCAGATGAGAAGGGTTATCCTGGT